AACAGTTTAAATGTCATAAATGTTAAAACTCTGACATGGACTCCAGGCTGTTAAGATGTCATATTTCCGCTACATAAAATGTTGAGCACTGACTGAGTACCACTACTGTTATATATTTGTACTTTATAAAACTTCTTATTTGTTTATGATTGAAATGATCACCTGATATAATATGTAACATTAAAAAAATCTGTAATATTACTACTGTATTTTCTAAGTGCATGACTAAGCTGTATGAGGCGGCAAGTAAAAAGGAGCGGGTGGGGGGGGGGCGCCGATGATGTGTTCGCATCCACCTCAAAAATATGTAGTTGCGCCCCTGTCTATACATATAATACTTCTATGTATTCAAAGCAGTCTGCTCCTCAGATAATTAGTGTTAACTTATTTTACATATAATGTTTCTGTTCAATGCCCTGAGATGACTTCTGATGTGACTTGGTGCTATATAAATAAACTGAATTGAATTGAATTGAATTGAATTGTTTGATTTGTGCAACAACTGTCCCATGTGGTCTCTGTCAAACCCACCAGGAGCAGGGCCTCAAGGGACAAACTGGGTGAGTAAATGTGTTTGGTGATACTGTATTGCTTTTATATTCTTTTGTATGTTATCATTCATTCAACCTTTATTTTTACAGGTTAATCCCATTGAGCCTCGGAGACTCATTTACAAGAGAGACCTGGTTTTAACAAAGAGTGATAACAACAAAGACAATAATAGACAATCATAAAGGATGTGTACACATTGAGATTTTTTTTTTAACAAGAGAAAAATAAAATGGTATTTAAAAGACAATGGTAACAAAAAACAGCTAGATTGTAGGGTGGTGTGGAAAATTAAAAACAAGAAGATGTCTGCATTGTTTTTTGCCAGGAACTTAGCAGATGTTCAAACCCACTTAGAGAGGTCAAGGTTGAGAGCTTCAGATATTTTTGCAAGATATTCCAGGATACAGGAGCAGTGTGGATGTTAAGTATTAATTGGTATTCTTGATGGATAATTTGTTTATCACAGTGTGTGGTGGTTCAGACCAGGAATGCCGACCGGACTTGAGGTTCTCCACACTAAAACTTATTTTAATTATAACAAAAACAAAAGACTGACAAGGCAGCAAAACTTCTATTTTCTCATGGAAGGCACACACTTAAGGCAAGAGAAGACCCGGCCAGCATCAGAACAATGCTTAATGATCGACTGACACCAGAACCAGACTAATGAACCAGACTACTGACAGCTGAGTGGAGTGACAACAGGAGCACCTGCTGCTGTTTGTGTGGGCATCAGAAAGGCTTCAATCCATTTAGACCACATGTCTGCAATGACACAATGAAATCCATCATTAAATGTTCAAAAGGACCGTCTGGTGGTGAGTGAGCAGCCTGTTCTTTTGGTCTTATTGCTTGGCCAGCATTTTGTGTAACACTGATTAGACAGTATCCTGATGCACACTCAAAAATCCAAGTAGAAAAATCTAAAAAAGTTAAATCTGGACATTGGACAGAACACCATGGATTTTGTGGATAAGGTGAGGGATGTCATCATGGAGACTGATGAAACAATGGTCTCTTTTGATGTCACATCACTCTTTACGTGCATTCCTGTTGATGATGCAGTAGAGGTGGTCAGTTTAAGATTAAAATCAGACACCACTCTGAGCAGAAGGACCACGCTTTCCACAGAACAACTGTGTCTACTCTTGAAACTGTGCCTGCAGTCAACCTACTTCACATATGGGGAGCAATATTATAGGCAGAAACATGGGTGTGCTATGGGGTCTCCAGTTTCTCCTATTGTTGCCAACCTGTACATGGAGGAGGTAGAAAAGAGAGCCTTGACGTCCTTTTCAGGGACACCACCAAGTCATTGGTTCAGGTATGTTGACGACACCTGGGTTAAAATCAAATCTCAGGAAGTCCAACATTTTACTGATCACATCAACTCTGTGGATAAATACATCAAGTTCACACGAGAAGATGTAAAAAAAATGGCAGGTTGGCTTTCTTGGACTGTGAGGTCTCAGTTTCTGATTGATGGCATTTGCAAACTCTGTACCGTAAACCCACCCACACAGACCAGTATTTGCAGTTTGACTCCCATCACCCTTTGGAGCACAAGTTAGGAGTCATCAGGACTCTGTACCACAGAGCAGACAGCGTCCCCACTAGCTCAGGAGCCAGGCAGAAGGAGAAATCCCACACAAGACAGGCTCTAGAGCAATGTGGATATCCTAACTGGGCCTTCCTGAAAGCAGAGAAGAAACCCAAACAGGACTCCAGTCAGCCATCAGGTGAAAAGGAGGAACCCAGACCCAGACCAGTGGTCATTCCGTATGTTGAGGGAGTATCAGAGAAACTGAGACGTTTATTTTCTAAACATAACGTCCCAGTGGCTTTTAAACCCCAAAATACATTACGGCAAAGACTGGTTCATCCCAAAGATCCAGTCCCCCGGCACAAACAGAGCAATGTTGTGTATGCTGTTCAGTGTCAGGAGGGCTGTGATCAGTCTTACATCGGGGAAACTAAACAGCCACTGGCCAAAAGGATGGCCCAGCACAGAAGATCAACATCATCAGGCCAGGACTCTGCGGTCTACACTCATCTCCAGGCCAGCGGTCACTCTTTCAGGGATGAAGATGTTCACATCCTGGACAGAGAGGAATGATGGTTTGAGAGAGGAGTAAAGGAGGCCATCTTTGTGAAAAGAAATCGTCCATCATTAAACAGGGGTGGAGGCCTCCGGGTTCAACTGTCCCCCTCTTACAATGCTGTGATTGCTAGTATCACTCAGTCCCCTGTGAATAGTAAACAGCCATCAGTGTGCTAATGATCCATTGTTAGGCTGATGGTCCTTCTTGAGCATGTGATCAGCTGGTTTTGGTTGTCAGCAGCAAAACTGGTTGATCCACTCTGAGAAGGTGCTATTTAAGAGACTGAGCTGAATACAGCACCTCAGACTGAGGAAGTCTCTCGAATGAAAGACGAAACGTTTCTACAATTTTTTGGACCAGATTTAACTTTAGACAGATTAGACAGGCTTCACAAAATTTTTGGGCCACCGTGGAAAAGCCGATTGTGAACCAGTGGCTGTTTATTAGTGATACCGTATCTCCCTTTGACACATGATCATAGGAATGTGTCAATTTTGCAAAATGAGAGAAAAAATGTTTTGGCGGGCATGGATTAGAATTTGGGCCTATCCAGACGTTCTGTTGTAAACGACAGCCTGCTCTTCGCCAGGATCGTTTCTCGTCAACAGTAGCAAAAGTCTGCATGTGTGTGAGAGAGCAGAAAATGTCTAACTTCCTGTGTCGCAGTGAGCACAGAAGCAGAAGAGGAAGCCGCTGTGTCTGCTGCTTCGTTGCCACGAGAGACATGGTCTGAGGCGCAGGTGTGGGCGGACCATTTACACCGACAGCAGGTGTGCTTTTGGGGTTTGTCACGATTTTGAGGCACAGATGAGAAGTATGGCAGGATGGAGGAGCAAACACATGATGAGTCACAGAAAACACAAGGGAGAACAAGAACTGATCAGAACAGAGGAAATCAAAAGAAGTAAGAAAGACAGTTCGGATAAACAAAATTAAACACATAGCAAATGAGATAAACGCCAAAAAACGTAATGATCAATGTAATCTTTTTCTAAAACATAAAGATCCATGAAATGATGAAAACACACTGATCCTGATATCATAGAGAAAGCATCTTCAGTGCTCTTTAAATGGAAAAACTGACAGGAAGCAGCTTTAAGTCGTCCACATGATGTTATCATTTTAAAAATTTAGTCATTTTATATAGAGAAACTCGATATGTGAGTGAATTATCTAAACAGTTGTGAAAACTCATTAAAGTTGAGCATATTAAGGAGAATAAATCAGAACATTTTGTCATAATGAAGGTAGTTTTAGCCGTTTGAGTCAAACTTTACAGATGGCATTATGCAAAATCTCAAGTTATTTTGGGAGATCTTTTGTGATCGGTTAGCTCTTGAAATATGTTTTAAGGATTACTCTCAGTTACTGCCACATCAGATGCAGTCCAGCATCTGACAGGTTGACTCAGTACTTGTGATTTTTTTGGGTTGACCAAGTTAAATTAGCTGTGGTGGCCATCTTGAATTGGTTGACTTCTAAAGTTAATTATAGATTTACTTACAAAAAGAGAACTTGACTTAAATCACTCATTTCACATCACTTGTGTTGGAGAAAATCTTTCACACCAACATTGTGTACCCAAAAGAACCACAATCAACAGCAGGAGAATATTTTAACCAGTATTTTATACTTTCAAGGTCTGATTCCAGGACAGTTTACATACACAACATATATGAACATAATGTACACGCATGAAAACCAGTGACAGAAAAAAACCACGATCCGCGTTATCTGCTCGCTTTTATACTCATCTCTGCTCAGAGTTTAACATAGTTTAGGAAGTGTCCTTGAAGCCAGCTGTAGTCTTTTTACACAGCACCCTCCATCTACCCAAACATATGGTTCATGGGCAAAAATAAGATGGTGTTTTTGGAGATGGTTTCGGCTTGTTTTGGGCTGCTCCTTCTCAGGTCAGAGAGAAAGAATGAACTGAATGAATTACACAAGAATCATTGCACATGTTGCTTGAGTTTTGTAAATTTTAATCACAAAATATAATCTCATCTAGTATAATCCCAGTGGGCAGAAAGGAGGAGTTGGATGAGGCTTTGGCCATCATGAGTGTTAGAGACAAACACCCAGCGTAGACAAAGATGAAAGATTCAGGGACTTTGTTGCAAAACTAAATCAAACTCATCCCTACCAGAAGGTTTGTGTGGTGATGTGGAATACGTATAACTAGTGTTGAACTCTTTCTTGCTTCCCTTTTGGTTATCAAGGCCATGGTTGGGGCCAAAAACCAAAAAGGAGAAGGCCAAACAAACAGACAAATTCCAAAGCAGTGAGCAAAGACAAATGGGATTGGTGTATATAAAAAGGTTTTACTTCTGTAAATCTTCCTATATATTAAACACTAAATAAATTATCTTCACATTTAAATTTAATAGCTATTCTTGAACATGAACACTTTATCATAGGTTCGGGTTGACAATTTTTCCCATAAAAAATATGTTTTCTGTATACCTATCAATAATAATCAACATGAAAGGACGATCAAACTTCAAATCTGGTTCCGGTGAACCTAAATAAACTGTGCTGGCACTTCCTGTAGCAGCAGCAGCAGCGGCTCCAACTTCATCAACATCCAGGGCAGCTTGGTGCACAACCTTACAGCACAATGAAGCAGAGTGAAATTAAATGTGGACAATGAAATCAAGGAAATGGACATCAGTAGTGTTTTCTCTGTTCGTACCTCTGAGACAGTCAGGTTTTGATCCTTTGAAATACCACTCAGATTTGCATCAAACATGTCAGTCATTCCCATTTCCTTCAACACATCATTCAGGGTGTATGAAGCCTTGATGGAAAACTTTGGGACATATATGTCAAACTCACTAAAATGAATAGTAAAATTAGGTATTAATTAAACAATCCAAGACAAATATGAGCTGGATCTAAATATTTTTTATTACCTGGACTCTGTCCCCTTCAGCCATTTGGTGACATGTGCTGAGCTGATACCATTCTCCAGAGTTGTCATATTACCAGGCAACATTAGCAGCATGGAGAAGGAGTTGTTCAAGAGAAGGTGGAGGACTCCCGTGTCAATTGCTTCCTCATAAGTGTAAAAGTGTTTTTTTATTTTCATCATTTGGACTGAAACCTGGAAGAAGAAAACACAACTTATAGTAACTACTTAAAGAGGTGTGGGGGACTTGAAGGTGCAAATCATTTCAATTGACCTTGTTCATGTACGCACTAAACTCATCCGGCTTGGTCATGGTAGGGTCAAGTGGTGCTGACCACGTTCCTGTTTGAAGGTGATCAGCAGAAGGCTTTTAGGTGTTGCCCCCAGATAAACTAATGCAAGCACATCATGTCTCATATGACCATTTTTACCTTTGTAGTAAATGTAGCTGAGGAGATACATGACTGTGCTTGGATCCAGGCTGTCGACCAGCTTGTCGATCTTTCCACTGGTCTTATCTGAAACATACTTATTGATGGTTTTGGCAGTGTCTGTAGCTTTGGTGAAGTCAACACTGAAGCCCTCTGATAAATAAGACTGCTTTAAGGCATCCAGGAACTCAGGCTGAGGTTTGAACAGGTTGTCTACAAACACAGCAGTACCTGCACTGATGTCCTCATGAGACCTTGTGTTTGCAAGGAGACTACAAAAGGCCTGGTCTACATCACTTTGGGACAGTTGGGAGATGTTGAAACCCAGACCATTGAAAATCTGTTGGTGGGTCTCTCCTCGTGCCCCTACAGACAAAGCAGCCAAGGCCACAGATACACTAACAGGTGAGAAGAAGATGTTTTTGCCTTGGGAGTCAGAGAGACCTGATAATTTCCTGTACAGGTGGAAGGCAAACTCTTTGTTGGCCAATATCACCATTGCTGATCCATCGTTGAAGCGGTCCACTGTGGTGTCTTGGACATGGCATGGATCATGAGCACCTCTTCCCACACAGACCACTGCTGATAAGATCCAGAGAACCACAGCTGCACGAATCATGATGATCTGAGACAAACTGCAAAAAGTGTAGTGTTGTTAGGCAGCATGTGTTTACCATCGCAGTACTGACACTGAACTAGATCTAAGAGATCTGCTGCTGTTTGGCCTATTGTTTTTTTATGCTACTAGTGCTTAGTGTATTCTCAGTTAACATTTTTCTTAGATCTTATTACTGTTTTTCTTTTACATTTTAGTGTTTTGTTGGATGTAAGTGGGACCCCATGTACACAATTAACTTCCACCACATGTACCACGTGTGTACGACAAATAAAGAACCTTGAATCCTTGAAAATTATTCACTTACATTTGATTTTTTTTTTTTTTTTTTTTTGTAAGAGCAGTTTCTTCATAAAACATTGTCTTTGTTGACAAGAGTTCATGAACTGTATGTCCAACCTCTGAAAAAAAAAAATAGCCAATGTTGGTGATGAACTTTGTTAATAACCAGGTCAGATACTTTTGCCAACCGCTTTGTGTTTTTTGCGTGCCATTTAATCACGTTTTGACAAAAAATATATATATATTCTTTATTTTTTGTGTAATAAATGTAACAAGACCACTAAAGACTTTTTTTAATTTAAAAAGATAAAATTTAGGGTTTAAGTCCAAAAATCAAACTGTATAACAAAGGATATGCAACATTGTCTTTAGAATGACAAAACAGCAACACATTATGCTTGATGTTATATTATTAAGAATCTCCTACAATTTAATTACTTCCCCTTCTTTTTTCAATCCTCAGTTTTAGATTTGAACATTTTACAAAAAAAATTACATAATTTCTGATTAATGTACACAGAATGTGGACACGTAAAACAAAAAAACACTTGTCACATTATGCTGTCTGAACAATACTTCCCTTCAATAAATCGGAGCCTAGGCCCTACAGCTTTAATTACATTTGATGTATTTTGTGACCTTTACATCCCAAAGAAGGTGAATACTTAAAATAAAACACAGGATACTGGAAGCAGAAAGTGCTGGACCACATTAGGTGCTGAAGCATTGGGCAGCTAAACAAAAAGTCTATCGAACACATTCTAATTACCAGTAAACCTAAACTTCTTACCATTAGCCAGGCTGACGTATGGAGAAAGACAAATGTACTGATGAAGACGAGGGAATGACATCCTCATATAAACGCACAGTGAGCTTGGCTAACAAGACACAGGTGAAAACAATCAAGACAATTGAATGAGAACAGCAAAACCAGCAAAACAGGAATTTATGAAAGTAGAATTCCACAAAGAAATGCATTTCGTCTGCATCCTTTGATGCCAAAATTTGAAACAAAGTGTGCTCTGTTTGCACTCAGAGTATGTGTTGGGGAAGACTCTCAGCTACTACCACATGGAGATTTCTCTCAATAAATATTAACAGACTGATTTATAGCTATTATTATGTTTGCTAAGATTGCTTAGCTGTGGTTGCCATCTTAAATCAGGGTGAATCCAAACATTAACCTGTTGTAGATGTACATGATTAAATGAATACATACCAGGAGTAACAGGTGAGAAGAATATGTTTTTGTCTTGGGAGTCAGAGAGAGCTGCTCATTTCCTGTACAGACAGAAGGCAAACTCTTTGTTGGCTGAAGTCGCCAGTGAGAATCTGCTGTTGCCGCTGCCGTTCGCTACTTTTGCCTTTTAGCTTGTGTTTTACTGTGTTATGCTTTTATTGCTTTAATAACTGAGTTTCAGCTTCTGCAGCAAATTTAAAATTCAATTCAGTTCAGTTTATTTCTATTACGCCAAGTCACAACAGAAGTTGTCTCAGGGCACTGAACAAAAACATTCACATACATAAAAAAAGCCAATTAGTGAAGTTCTCTATCTAAGGAAGCAGCAGATTGCATCAAATCCACTTCACCGCAGTCTCCCAGCCTGAGCAAGAGCAAAGGCAACAGTGGAAAGGAAAAACTCTTTTAACAGGAAGAAACCTCCAGCAGAACCAGGCTCAGGACGAAAAGCCATCTGCCTCAACTGGCTGGGTTTGAGAGGACAAGAAGGAGAAACAAACACAGAACGACAGGTCCAGATGAACTTTCTATAGGAGGCAAGACAAAAACATGTTAATAATATAAATAATTACAAATACAAAACAGGTATAGTAGAGTAAGTAAAGACAGCAGCAGAATGAGGAAATTTAGACAAATTGTCCTCCAGCAGTCTAAGCTTATAGCAGCAAAACTAAAGGATAGCTCAGGAAACCCATGTCAACCCTAACAATAGGATTTATCAAAAAGGAAATACTTAAGCCCAGTCTTAAACTGGACAATGTGTCAGCCTCATGGACAGAAACTGGAAGTTGGTTCCACAAGAGAGGAGCCTGATAACTGAAAGATCTGCCTCCCATTCTGCTTTTGGAAACTTTAGGAACCACAAGTAAACCTGCAGTCTGAGAGCAAAGTGCTCTGTTAGGAAAATATGGAACAATAAGATCTGTAATATAAGATGGAGCTGGGTTGTTGAAGGCTTTGTAGGTTAGAAGTAAGATTTTGAATTCTAATCTGAATTTCACAGGGAGTCAGTGGAGAGAATATCCTAATGCATGCTCAATAATCCAAGTAGAAAAATCTAACAAAGCTAAGTCAGGTCCTCTGGATGGATTCAAATAAATAAAAAATAAAAAATGTTTTGTCTTTAACCCAAAAGACTTAGTCTTTGGATATCTTCAATGGAGAGAAGCTAAAACTGGAGAGATATGATCTCTCCTATCAACTCTCATTAAGACTCTGACAGCAGCATTTTAGATCAACTGGAGACTTTTTAAAGACGTATTTGGACACCCAGATAATGAACCTTTGCAATAGCCCAGCCTAGACATGATAAATGCATGAACCAGTTTTTTTTGCATCATTTTTGGACAAGATGTTTCTAATTTTAACTATGTTACACAGGTGTAAGAAATTGGCTCTGGGAACTTTTTTAATGTGGAGGTTCAAAGACATGTGCTGATCCCAAATAACACCAAGATTTTTAACATTAGAGCTGGAGCCCAGATTAATGTCATCCAAGGAGGGAGAAAGACTGAAAAACTAATTCCTGAGATGCTCAGGTCCAAAAAATCAAAACCTTAATTTTGTCTGAGTTTAAAAGCAGAACATTTAGGGTCATCCAGGTTTTTATGTCTTTAAGACATGCTTGTAGTCTAGTAGCTGATTGGATTCATCGGGTTTCAATTGCAAGTAGTCATTCAGCAGTCACACTGCATTTTTACACACAAAAAAGCAGTTTCTCTATTTTTAATTTGCTTCCTGGAATGATCAGTAGGTGACTATGGTAATCATGGCGTCAAACTGAGATGGCAAAACATGTCTACGCTCATCCGCCATCCTGAACAATAGTGCTGGATTAGATTATATGTCCAGTTTTTAGTTTTTCAGTGTTCTAACATGTGAAAATCTTTAATCTAAAATATTCACTTCATTTTGAACTCAGCGTAAATCTAAAATGTTCACTGTAAAGTGTAAATGACTGTTTTGTATTAATGTGGAATATTAGCAATAACAATCGGTTTAATTAAACATAAACATTTTCAGAAAAAAATGCAGGTTTTTTTTTTTTTACTTAAAGACATTTTAAACATTCAACTAAACAGTATGCTGTAAAATTTATGACTCTGCACATACTTACAGGCCAGTATCAGTTTATAAAACATGTGATTATGAAATTACACAGTTACTCACAGAACAAACATGCTGTATATGTTTATTTTGTAAAAGTTGATTTTTACAAATTACATGAAAATCCCTCAAAGCTTTTATACAATCCATTTTGAGTAATGTTTGTGTATTTGTACATAAAAAAATATGGAGAAATGTTTTGCTGGCATGGAATATAAGATGAAGAAAAATACCTGAGATGCATTTTAACATCCCAAAACAATCTGCAAACTGTTTTTTTTCTTCTTATAATAATAATTAGGATCCCACACTTATAGAGATTATTATTCAAACAAAAAAAGTATAATAATTTGGGACAGTGAAGGTAAAAAGGAATGTCCCTGAAATACTTTTTCTTTTCGAGCCCACACAAAAACCTGGTCTAATGATGTTTGCCAAAGAGCTGTCCATTAAGTTTGATGAGCTGTCGGAGGAAACCTCGATTAGGGATCACTCCCCGGTTATTTTTCACAGCACAAATGGCCTCCACAAGAGGTAGGTTCTGTCTCAGCATCAAGTAAGCCAGAACCAAGGTGGCTGAGCGACTGACTCCCACATGACAATGCACCAGAACCTTGCCTGAAAAACCCAGAGAAACATTTTCAGACATCATCTAATAGTTTGTAATAATACTGGGACAACTCGTTTGCCTGTTTTACCTCCTCTGCTTAGCGCCCTGTGCATAAAGTCTGCTGCCGGCTGGAAGTTGATGCTCATATTATAGTCACAGGAGTCCCGAGCCTCAATGCCCATGTAGGTGATGTTCATCCCTTCATAGATTTCTGGCTGCCTGCCTTGTTTACTGTGAGCTGCGTTCAGAATGTGGGTGAACCGATGCTTGGATAGATCAGCCAGGTTCTCTGCGGATTGCCTGAAACATGCAACAGTTTGTATTTAGAGATGGCATTGTACATATTAAATAATGCAAATACAGTCATTGGAAAAAAATCAGCAATGACCTTAGAGGAGCAACTGTTGCCCATCAATTTGTGAAAGGATTAGAGGTACCAACCAATTTGGAGTCCATGATTCAACAGAGAGAAAACCCTAACAAACAGAAAAGACTTCCCAGACTTCCGCTTCTCAGGAGTGGATGTCACATTAAATTCACCCAGATGTCAGACTGTGCAACGCTCAGAGAAAAATTGCATCAAACCCATGAGCTCCATCTCTCACTCTACAAAACTCAGCAATGTAAAGTTTTTGGTCATGAAAAAACAGTTAGGAAAAGTCTAAAACAGTTATGGCTCATTTTTCATTCATTCATTCATTCAACCTTTATTTAGACAGATAAATCACATTGAGGCTCGAAGACTCATTTACAAGTGAGATCTGTTTAGACAGACAAAAAAAGTTGTGAAACTGTGCACATGTAGGAACTGGAGGAAAAAAAAAATCCTATCAAACTTTTTCTTCTTGGCTGAGAAGAAAGCCCCTGATAATGACAAAAACACCCCGCACATACAAGCACATGGTGATATAGACATTGGGGGGGGGGAACAAGGGTGGTGAGAGTGTCCAAGGAGGCTCCCGGAGGCACTGTAGGAGTTCTGATAAGGATGGAATAATTGGCCATTTCCCTCTGGTGAGATCCATAAACATTCTCGAGGGGTGTCGTGAATGGCCAAGGACAACGTCAATAGGAATCCAAGAGTCCTGAAATTATGATAAAAATGTTTTTTCAGCTGGTTCCCTCAAGGTTGATCAGTGGACTTCCTCGATGGGAGGGAGGGGGGGCAGAGCATCAGTTTACAGAGCCTCCAGGCAAATTAATCTACGGTAGCCTGCAAGGCCAGCCAAGGGAACCAAATTCAGATAAACAACGTTTGTTTTGAAGTCAGGCCGAACTTTACTGAATTTTTATCTGCCTTGAGTCTTTGCTGGTCTCGCGTAGATTCCGAAAGGTCCAAATTAAGTGGACACACCACTGATCCGTGCTTGAGAATATTTTCCAAGATTTGAGCCATCCTGCCAGCGAGTCCTAGGGGCCACATATGGCCTGCGATTCTCACAAATCACATCCAATTTGCGATCCAGTCCACTAAGCAATAGAGTCTGGGTGCACGAGACATGGAGCAAACCTTCACATAGGCGGCAGCCTGACCAGGCCAGATTAGCTGTGGCCGTCTTCTTTGTGCAGTTCACCTCACCTGAAGCTTTTCTCAAAAATGTTGTTCATTGCTTTGAGAGACCAACTGACCAGATCCACAAAATTATGGTTCGAAAGATATGTAGGGAGAGACCAGAAACAGTTTCAAAGACAGGACAGAGCAGCAAAGCAAAGCGGAGGAGGGAGAGGAGGGGAAAAGCGTCCGCTCTCGGCAAGAGCAAGTGGTGAAGTGGATGGAAGGGTTATTAGGAGAGTGTCTCCTTTCTAAACAGAACATGACAGCACGACTTGGGTTTGCAAGTTTCACAGTTTCATCAGTAAGAACCACAAGCCTTCTGAAACAATGTCCTTTGGGAAGATGATTGTGGACAGAAGTAGTTTAGTAAAAATCAGACACATAATATCATCATAAACACCCTGTAAGAAATGGTAAATGGACTGTACTTATATAGCGCCTTTCTATCTAATCAAGATACTCAAAGCACTTTACACTAAAATCTGTGTCCTCATTTACCCATTCATACAGCACTCTACTAGATCTCTACAAAGCTAACTGAACAAATCATTCTAAAGAGACTAATCAGAGCTTTAGATCACATTCATACACTGATGGGACACACATCGGAGGCGATGAGGGGTTCAGTGTCTTGCCCAAGGACACTTCGGCATGTGACTGCTGGTGGATTCGAACCCCCAACTTGTGCATTGGAGGACGACTGCTTTACCCACTCAGCCTCAGCCGCCCAACAATAATAACTGTTGAGCATGGTGGTGGAGGGGTGATGATTTGAGCTTGTTTGCAGCTACAGGACACCATGCAGTCACTGAGTTAACCATGAACTTCTCTAAAGACCAAATCTTTATAGTCAAATGTGAGATCATCTGTCTGACAGCTGAAACTTGATCCAAACTGGGTTGTAATGAAATGGGACAACAATCCCAATGATGGCAACAAACATACAACAGAATGACAGAAGAAGAAAAGAATCAAGGTGTTGCAGTGGTCCAAAGTGCAGCCCTGAGCCTGATTAAAATGCTGTGGTGAACCTTAAGTGAGTTGTGCAGAAACAAATGCCTGCAGACCTGAAAGAAATGAAGAAAAGCTGTGCAAAAGAGTGGACTATATTATTTCTCTATAACTATGTGAGAGACTGATCATCATTGTCTGACAGTCAGAAAATGACTACTAAGAGTTATTTCATCTAAAGGAGGTTCATCAAGCTATTGAATCATGGAGGGGAATTTGTTTTCCTCACATTTTATTCTAGTTTTGCTCATTTTGTTCAATAATGACACATTGTGGTTGAGTGTTTTTGTACATTTGAGATTTTAATCGTTTTAAAGGTCAAATCATTTTAAACACAAAACCCTAAAAATAGAAAAAGTGTGGCCTTTTTTCATGAATGTAGTTTTCTGATGCTCTGTGAAGCAACGTGTAACTTATTCTGTCGTGACTGATGCAAAGTATTTGAAGCATGAGCGTTAGGAAATATAAGACCAGAGATATGCTTTCATGCCGGAGCATAATTAGAAGCTCTCACATGGCAGAGCTGAAGTTTATGTAGGTTCTCAAGAAGGAATTCAGTTCAAGGACTAAATCTGATTTATGATCAGTTTCTGTTTCGCTTGTGTACAGTGCACCCAAATCTGCTTACTCTGATGTTTATAACAGTGGGCTCAGATCTTTGAATGAAATTTCAAAGAAAAAGTTTAGATGCTTACTGGTCACCGATGTAAAGCCTCGGCCACACTTCGTCTGCATGGCTGATGATAGCTTTGCCTGTCAACAAAAGTCTTTCCAACTCGAACACTGCCAGTCCAGGTGAGCTCAGGTCGATTTCCACTTTCCTGTGTGGTCGCTCATCATTCCAGGAGGCGGGAAGTTTCGATGTGTACGACATGGCTTTTTGAGAAAGTGTCGTTTCTGAACTTCTTAAATAAATACAACATGTTAAAGCTTTTCAAATCTTCAAGAAAGCTGAAAGTTACTCCATGCATTTCCTCTCCAGTTGTATCAAACAAAAAAGAATGAACCTCAGGTGACTTTAGACTTAATTCTTTGCCTGTGATTTACTCACCTCAACACTAAACATCCGGAGTGTTATCAGGACATTTGATCCTTGAATTAAACCGAGCCTGCGTGCCTCAAGCCTCCAGAGGGCAAGTGTTCTGCCTTTACTTCAGAATAACAGTCTATTTAAAGATGTGAACGTTAGTTGGCAGAGGGTATCGTTGGGCAAGTTTCCTCTTAAAAAATGTTTTAAATGGCAGAATTGTGTTTCTAAGTACACTTAATAAAACAAAAGACTAATACAGTGTAGATTTATTGAGAGTTGTTGCAATTTGCTGGCTTCCTAACATTTTTTATTATTATTGATCATTTACAGGTGCTGGTCATAAAATTAGAATATCAAGAAAACGTTGATTTATCTCAGTAATTCCATTAAAAAAGTGAAACTTGTATATTATATTAATTCATTGACACCTTGCACAAGGAGGGCAAGACACAAAAGGTCATTGCTTAAGAGGCTGGCTGTTCACAGAGCTCTGTGTCCAAGCACATTAATAAAGAGGGGAAGGGAAGGAAAACATGTGGAAGAAAAAAAGTGTACAAGCAATAGAGATAACTGCACCCTGGAGAGGATTGTGAAACAAAACCCATTCCAAAATATGGGGGAGATTCACAAAGAGTGGACTGCAGCTGGAGTCAGTGCTTCAAAAACCACCACGCACAGATGTATGCAAGACATGTTTCAGCTGTCACATTCCTTGTGTAAAGCCACTCTTGAACAAGAGACAGCATCAGAAGTGTCTCACCTGGGACTGCTGCTGAATGGCCAAAAGTTATGTTCTGAATTAAGTAAAATTTGCATTTTCTTTGGAAATCAAGGTCCCAGAGTCTGGAGGAAGAGAGGAGAGGCACAGAATTCACATTGCTTGAGGTTCAGTGTCAAGTTTCCACAGTCAGCGATGGTTTGGGGTGCCATGTCATCTGCTGGTCCACTGCGTTTTCTGAGGTCCAAGGTCAACACAGCTGTCTACCAGGAAGTTTTAGAGACTTCATGCTTCCTGCTGCTGATCAATTTTATGGAGATGCAGATTTCATTTTCCAACAGGACTTGGCACCTGCACACATGCCAAAGCTACCAGTACCTGGTTTAATGACCATGGTATCCCTGTTCTTAATTGGCCAGCAAACTCGTCTGACCTTAACCCCAAATAAAATCTATGGAGTATTGTGAAGAGGAAGATGTGATACACCAGACCCAACAATTCAGAAGAGCTGAAGGCCACTATCAGAGCAACCTGAGCTCTCACAACACCTGAGCAGAGTCACAGACTGATCGACTCCATGACACGCTGCATTGCTGCAGTAATCCAGGAAAAAGGAGCTCCAACTAAATATTGATGCTGCACATGCTCATACACTTCATGTTCATACTTTTCAGTTGACCAACATTTCTAAAAATTATATATTTTTTAATTGGTCTTAATATTGTAATTTTCTGAGAAACTGAATTTGGGGTTTCATTAGTTGTCAGTTATAATCATCAACATTAAAAGAAATAAACATTTGAAATATATCAGTCTGTGTGTAATGAATGAATATAATATACAAGTTTCACTTTTTGAATGGAATTACTGAAATAAATGAACTTTTTCATGATATTCTAATTTTATGACCAGCACCTTTATAATGAACGTTTCTGTGCAGTGCCCCAGCCTGAGATGACCTTTTTTGTGAATTTGTGCAAAATATACTAAATTAAATTAATCCTTTTTTGAACTTTTAATTAAAATCTATAAACAGCGAGGACAAAACAAAACTGATAACAGGTTAAGAAAATAGCTGACATTTAATTGTTTTCTTCAATTTGCAATAACTTCAAAGTTTATCAAGCAAAGATTTCCACCTTGTGTTGAAAACATGCATTACAACTAAAGTTAAACATTAACCTAAAATTAAAGATATCCCAGATGATACATTTCATGCAAAAGTTTGTTTTTTTTTTCTTCTTCTAATTATATAAACCACTCTCTTAAATGTGGCACTTTCCCCGCTGTAAAACAACACAAGAGCATGTGAAAGAAAAAAAAACAACTACTCACTACTGTATACACAAGACAATGGACTGTGGTGCACATTTGGGTTTTTGACCCAGGAAGTTGGAAATTAATATTTGCTCGAACTACTGCTGAACCACCGTGTGTTCAAGCATAAAACCTTACAGAAAATGTTAAAGCTTCCTCCTTTCCTTTATACCAGTGTACAAAGCGCAAGAAAAATAAACATTTTACGCAACCTTGTTTTACCTATGTGCAGTAACAGTACGGTAGTTTATAGGGTTAAAAACATGAAATTCATATGTAGATCAGATTGAATGTCTGTGCTTTGAAGGCAGTTTCAAACACAAGATGGAACAATTAGGACAGCGATCTTTAGAGGGTTTTCATTCATCTGCTACAACTCTGGCGTCAATAATTGGCTCCGACATGTCGTGACTGAGTGCCTGTCTGAGGTTACAGTGCATGCAAGGCTTGGAGCATAACAGAAAACACACTGCTGCAGAAACAAGGAGGGGAAGGGGGCGGTGGGCAGCTATACTGAATCCATCACAGGAAAAGACAATATTATGATCATGCAAATAGACTGAGCTGTCTCAGTAGACAGCTGAGGAAGTGCATGTGTCTAAGTTACAAGTAGGATCAGACTAAAACAGAGCCACAGTCCTGAGGGGCAGTCCGAACACATATCACGAGTTAGACCACAAACAGCTGCAATGTGAAGCTAAATAAACTGTTTTCCAGTCACATCCTGCAGAATGGTGGTAAAGGCAGGACACAAAAGAGAGGATGTGCAAGTTTCAGATTGTGTAGCCAGCACAGTCACTCACGGAGGCTGAAAGTTACGTATGATATATACACAAACATCATGTCCTGTTTAAAGAGTTTATAGAATAAGAGCTCCAACTTGTTCTCAGGTACATATCATGTAAGTTTTTTTAATAACATTGTGTTGGAGGAAAAAAACAAAACTATCGCTATGTAGAATCAAACTGATCCTTCAATTATTACATGGAAGATCTGAATGAAGAAAAGAATACTTGGTGGCTCACAGTCCAGTTCAGAAAGCTTTCCGCTCCAGCTGGTCTAGAATGGTCTGGATTCTCTGTACAGCCTCTTTCCGGGCTTGCCGTACACTCTCTTGTCCCTGAGTCTCCACAGAGTCCAGCTCCAGCAGCTCTTTGGTCAACAATTCCTCCAGACAACGATAACTCTTGTCTGTTTTTCTGCCAACAAACTCGTCAACATCCTCCTGAAGAAGCTGAACTCTGAACAGAACCTGCTGAACTTTAGCGAGGCTGGGATTGTCGCCCAGGGGCTGAGGTCCTGCCTGACTAGAAGCTGGTGGGGTCTCAGATTGTGGAGGAACAGTATCACCTCTCCCGTTCTTGATGTAAATTTGGGGAGGTGAACTTATTTCAGCAGGATTTCCATTGGGGGGATTAGGTGACAGTGCTGGCCTGGGTTTAGGTCCTGGCTGAGGGGCACGCTGGTGATGCGGATCCTACAAAGACACAAAGAGCGTGTGAGTCCTTCAGTTTCATTCCAGTCTCTCAAACAAAAAAGCTGCAGATTTTTACCTTTGGCTGATAAGGTGGTGGAGCACCAGTTCCAGTTCCTGGCCACGCTGGAGGATGTGCTGGACGGACATGGTTAGCAAAGTGATTTTGTGGAGGCTGCTGTCCATGTTGCCATTGCTGCTGCGTGGGAGGGTATGGACCAGAGTGCCCCCAAGCATCGGCCTGAGGGCTTGGGTGGAGAGGCTGGCCAGTGGGGTACGGGGTGTTTGGAGGCATTCCATGTCCACCTTCACTGTAGTGTGGGTATGGGCCAGAAGGATATCCAGGACCCTGAAGGCACAAGCAAGGCCACCGTGTTGTATTTATACATTTGTTTTCAGTGTCACTGTAGGTATCTACTTTAAAAAAGCACTGATGTCACTAAGGATGTTTCCTGTCGGGTTTAATGTTACACCTGAAAGCTACAACAGCATATAAAAACAATTTAAACTCACGCCTTGACAGTGTGGACCAGGATAGTGATGATGTTGGTGTGCTTGCCCAGATGGCCCACCGCTCTGCTCAGCTGGACACGCTTGGTTTGGATAAGAGCTTCTCTGAGGATCAGCGCAGTAGAACGGATTTGACGGGTGGAAACCACTGGTTGAGTACTGACTTTGAGCAGGGTTGTACACTCCGTGGCCATTTGGATACCCTCCAGGCATCATCTACACGAAAAGCAAAATAAAGACACACTTGTCTGCAAGGATGTACAGTTTTGACACAGTATTCGACTATTTAGAAATGTGTAGGATATCTAAGATGGAGGACAGAGTAACTCCTACTTGCAAAGATTATGTTGCATAATGTGCCTCACCTGTGGATTGTATGGCGGCTGAACGTCTGATCCTGAGGGATAAGCATTTGCATAGTGCTCAGCAGAGTGAGACTGTGGATACCAGTAATGTGAAGCATATCCTGGATACTGAGGAGCATCCTGTGAACATAGTACATGAACAGGGAAGGGGTTTTACTTTTTTCCTCATATAAAAGTACCCAAAACGTGATATTTATTCAGTACTACTTAGCTCATAGACAACAGCATATTTTCAGCTTAGCTGTGTAAACCTGAATGTTCAATAAGTTATAAAAACTAGTACAAATATCCAAGTTTATCGCTTGATGAATCACTTATAGTATGCATCTGAACAGAAATACTATGCCGACTACAAAAAAAAAAAAAAAATGCAAAGAACATTTCACAAAAGCACACGTGTTACGCTATCACAATGTGTTAACACCCCAAAAGAACAATGAAAAGTTGGGTAAAAGCTCAACTATCAAGCTTGTTTCAACTAGTATTACATAATGATGCCAGCTAGCTGTGTTAGCCGTGCAGCTAACACAGTACTGTGCGAGTCACTTTCAGTGTGATTTATACACGATTTCACGTCGTGTTTTTAATGTTAAACACACTACAACTCATTTCATTCACAAAGAGTGGGCGGCTAGGACGTTTTCCATCAGCTCACCATAGTGTTATTCCAGTTTCCGTGATTATTTTTCGAGTTACAAGTCGAGGGCCAGCCAGGTTTGAGTTGAGTGTATTTGAGGATGGTGCATCAGCTACGCGCGTTCTCTTTCACCTGTCTCGTCACGTGCCATTGTAAATAAATAAATCTTTAACAACATAAAAGTTACTTATCTGAGACGCCAGCAAACACAAATTACATCTACTCTCGAGTAGAGATCGACCGATATAAATCAGGAAATGATTGAATGATGCGGAGCTTGTGGAGGGGAAAAAAAAAAACGGCGTGTCTCTTTAAAACAAAGAATAGTAATAAGTATGAAGATGCCTCACTCAGACCGGCTTTTTTATTTTCGGCACCTTGAACGTCATTGTGGAAGCGACTCCAGGATGTGAAGTTAATTTGTGCAGTGACTTAAAATAGGACGAATGTCACATCAAATAACTGTTTAAGGTTTCGAGAAATAAAATCATATTTTTATTTTGCGGAAAAAGTGAAAATGTTCATTTTCATCTCTTTTTTAATGTAGTAATTTGAGCCTTGCGCATACACGATCTTTGGTGTCGCAAACGCTTCCGCATTCAATATCGAAAAGATCTGGGTTTTTTTATGTATATATTAGGTAAAACCTTATAAATCTAACCCTCTTTGGGCCTACTTAAAAAAATACAACAACAAAAAAAAATACAAAAAATACAAACGTTGCACGTTTAGACACAAGTTGGCACGTGATGGGTTAAACGTTGACAGGAAGTTTATCCCGAGCACGTATAAAGGCACTTCCTGTGCTCCTGTCTTCAAAGAAACGAATTTAAAACATTCATGGCTTGACGGTACAGCAAGGTAGTGGAAAAAAAAGCTGAAACCCAAGATGAACTACGTACCAGGGACGGCGAGCCTCATAGACGACATTGACAGTGAGCTGCCGACACTGATGGTTTAAGGCTTTAGTTTAGATCTAAGATCTGTGGCTTCGTTCTGCGCCTCTTTAGACAGCAGACTTTGAAATATGTGTACCAAAGCGAATATAACGTGTAACTTAAAGTCCTTGTGGTGTTTTGTGTCCTGCAGAGAAGCACCTGGTGCTGCTCCGGGACGGCAGGACGCTGATTGGTTACCTGAGGAGCATCGATCAGTTTGGTACCTCTGTTTTATCATTTCACACTTTGCTTATTGAACTTGGAGGCAAAATCGACGCACTTCAGTAAAACATGCATTCATGTGTTCTTTACATGTCTCATTCATGTCCTCCAGCCAATTTAGTCTTTCACCAGACCGTGGAGAGGATCCACGTGGGGAAAAAGTTTGGAGACATCCCCAGAGGAATCTTCATCGTGAGAGGAGAGAATGTGGTGCTGCTTGGAGAGATAGTAAGTCTTTACTGTCCTATTTTGTCTTCTTTTTTATTTATTTATTTGAGGCAAAGATACAAACTGAGCTTTAACATTTGGCAGAGTAGATGAAAACCAAGCAGATAAACTGAAAGTCAGAGTTTAAATATGTTTCCAGAAAGTATTCACAGTGCTTCCCTTTTTTCCACATTTTATGTTACAGCCTTATTTCAATTAATCTCTTAACTCAAAATGCTACACACAATACACTATTATGACAAAGTGAAAAAATTGGACATTTTTGCAAATTTATTAAAAATGGAAACATTGGATATCACATTTATGCAAGTATTCACAGCCTTTGCCTAATACTTTGTTCACCTTTGGCAGCAGTTACAGCCTCAGGTCTTTGTGAATATGATGTCTCAACCTTAGCACACCTGTCTTTAGGCAGTTTCCCCATTATTCTTTGCAGTACTTCTCAAGCTCCATCAGGTTGGAGGGAAGACGTCTGTACAGCCAATTTCAGATATCTCCAGAGATGTTCAATCAGGTTAAAGTTTGGACTGAAATAGTTTAAAATAAGGCTGTAACATAACAAAATATGGGAAAAGGGAAGTGCTGTGAATACTTTCCAGATTCACTGTATATAAAATGGGAAATGGTGTTTAAAAAAAAAAAAAAAAGCCCCAGCATTCTTTGAAAGAATTCATATCGCCCTGCAGCTTTTCATGCCAGAGTTGGAGACTGACCTCGTCTTTAAGTGGATAAATAAAGAAGTTCTGTTTTGATCAAAGCTTGAAAATGTTATGAGCAATCTTTTACATGTTGAGTTGTCTCTTTGTTGTGAAGGCAGTTACTGCCACGTCAAAGTTTAGCCAGACGTTCTGTAAAACTCACCGAGTTTCAGCCAATTTTCTTTTGGCTAATGTCAACCAGCTGAGGCCTCATTCTTGAAGTGGGTTGACTCCAGAAATGATTCATTTTGTAGATCTGCATCCGGAGAATACTTTCTGAAAGGTACTTTAAAATCAAATCAGTGTTTCGTGACATATTTTACGGACACCGGCTAAAACATGAGTCGGCTTTTATAAGTAAAAACTTTTCAAATGTTATTCACTAGACAAAATAACTGATTAATGAAGTATTACAGGTAAAATGTTCTTTCGGCTTTTCCCTCTTCAGGGGTCTCCACAGCGAGTCATCCTCCTCCACCTCTCTCTGTCCTCTGCATCCTCTGTCTTCACTCCAACTACCTCCATGTCCTCTCTAACTGCACCCATATATTTCCTCTGTCTTTTTCCTGGCAGCTGCATTTCTAACATCCTTCTACTAATATAACCACTGTCCCTCCTCTGAACATGTCCAAACCACTGTCTCTCCTCTGGACATGTCCAAACCACTGTCCCTCCTCTGGACATGTCCAAACCACTGTCCCTCCTCTGGACATGTCCAAACCATCTCAGTTTGGTCTCTAACTTTATCTCCAAGTTGTTCAACCTGTGCTGTACCCCTAATGATCTCATTCCTAATCTTATCCATCCTTGTCACTCTTAAGGAGAACCTCAGCATCTTCATTTCTGCCACTTCCAGTTCTTTCTCCTGTCTTTTTGTCCATGTCTCTGTCTCCAGACCATATAACATAGCTGGTTTCACCACTGTCTTGTAAACTTTTCTTTTGACCTTTGCTGACACCCTTTTGTCACAAATCACTCCTGAAACTTTTCTCCATCCACTCCATCCTGCCTGGACTCTCTTCACCTCTTTACCACATTCCCCATTTTTGTGGACAGTGGACCCCAAGTACTTGAAGTCCTGCACCTTTGTGACCTCTGCTCCTTGTAGCCTCACTGTTCCACCGGCCTCCCTCTCATTCACACACATACTGTCTTACTACGGCTGATTTTCATTCCTCTTTCAAGTGCATACCTCCACCTCTCCAAGTTCTCTTCCACCTGTTCCCTGTTCTCACCACAGATCACAATGTCATCTGCAAACATCATCGTCCACGGGGATTCCTGCCTGACTCATCAGTTAGTCGGTCCATCACCAGAGCAAACAAGAAGGGGCTCAGAGTCGATCCTTGATGCACTCCCACCTCCACCTTGAAGCTATCTGTCACTCCTACAGCACATCTCCCCACTGTCCTGCTGTCCTCATACATGTCCTGGACCAGTCTAACATACTTTTCTGCCACTCCAGATTACCTCATGCAATACCACACCTCCTCCCTCGACACCCTGTCATGCTTTTTCTAAATCCACAAAGACACAATGGAGTTCTTTCTGACCCTCTCTGTACTTCTCCATCAGCATCCTCAACACAAAGATGGCATCTGTGGTGCTCTTTCTTGGCATGAAACCATACTGCTGCTCACAGTCGCCTCTCGTCTAAGTCTTGCTTCCACAACTCTCTCCCAGATCTTCATCATGTGGCTTATCAACTTAATTCTCCTGTAGTTGTTACAGCTCTGTACATCACCCTTGTTCTTAATCCATCTCAATACCAGCACACTTCTCCATTTCTCAGGCATTTTTTCACCCTCAAATATGTCATTGATTATTTGAGTCAAAAACCTCACTGCCATCTCTCCAAGACATTTCCAAACCTCCAGTGGTATGTCATCAGGTCCTACTGCCTTCCCCTTCTTCTTTCTTTTCAGAGCTTTCCAGACTTCACCCTCACTAATCTTTCCCACTTCCTGGTCCACAGTTTCTATAACCTCTACTTTTCTTTCTCGTTCATTCTCTTCATTCATTAGCTCCTCAACATACTAGTACTAGTTTGGTGGCCTGCTGTACACATCTTTTATCACCCAAACTTAACAAAATTAAATAATCGTGAGGAAACTATTCAATCAACAGCTGAAGTTTATTGGATAATTTTTGTCTAAATGAATGTGGTTCATAAGCTATTTTACCAACAAATGGGTCATTTCCGTTTCTATCAGAAATCTAGCTGCATCCATTTGCGCTCAGATTATGTCTTGGGGATGGCTCTCAGCTACCGCCGCACCAGTTTTAAATTAATATTTGTGAAATTTGACCGAGTTGTAGATGTATTTCATGTTTTGCCAAGTTCAGTTAAAACCTTACCACCCACTATCCACCTTTTTGGTGCTGGGGATTAATAATCTATAACCGTATTAAATTTCACTTTCAATCCCAGCAGAAAGATCTAAAAGGAAAAACTTTGTACACGATTTGTGTTGATCTCAACAGTGGTCTGTTACAGAGATGGAGGAGCTTCCAGGCTGGCACACACAACCAGCATGAGTCATGAAGCCCAACTTTTTAAACATTATGTTCACGTTTGCTCTGACAACAAGACAGCCTGTACTGTACGTTAGAGGACCTACGGTGTCCTGACTGGGACACTTCATGTTATCAGCAGGGTTTGTCAAGTTCAGGCATTTGAGCATTTTTATTTTTAGAGAACTGATGCTCATTGTCAATATTTGAGCTTCATGGGAGCCAGATAATTAGGCTCCCATGCAATCTGTTTCACTTAATTTTTCATTTTATTATTATTATTATTATTATTATTATTATTATTATTATTATTATTATTATGATTATTGATGATAATGACTGCTGCCAAAGGTGATAATGTTTTTACTTCTCTGTGTTTGTAGTTGGCAACATATCTCATAAATCGTTAATGAAACGCTCAAAGTAATTTTTGGATGCATGTCTACAACTGATTAACTTATGTAGTCAATCCAATTCAAGATGGCCTCCACAGCTAATCCGCATTAGTCATCATGTAAAATGGTATACAGGTGCTGGTCGTAAAATAATATCATGAACAAGTTGATTTATTTCAGTAATTCCATTCAAAAAGTGAAACTTCTATATTTTCATTCATTACACACAGACTGATATATTTCAAATGTTTATTTATTTTAATGTTGATTATTATAACTGACAACTAATAAACTCCAAATTCAGTATCTCAGAAAATTAGATTATTATTTAAGACCAATTAAAAAATTTTTTTTTAGAAATGTTGGCCAATTGAAAAGTATGAACATGAAGTGTATGAACATGTGCAGCATCAATATTTAGTTGTTGCTCCTTTTTCCTGGATTACTGCAGTAATGCTGCGTGTCATGGAGTCATCAGTCTGTGGCACTGCTCAGGTGTTGTGAGAGCTCAGGTTGCTCTGGCCTTCAGCTCTACTGAATTGTTGGGTCTGGTGTATCACATCTTCCTCTTCACAATACCTCATAGATTTCCTTTGGGGTTAACGTCAGGCGAGTTTTCTGGCCGATTAAGAACAGGGATGTCATGGTCCTTAAACCAGGTACTGGTAGCTTTGGTACTGTGTGCAGGTGCAAAGTCCTGTTGGAAAACAAAATCCGCATCTCCATAAAGTTGGTCAGCAGCAGGAAGCATGAAGTCTCTAAAATGTCCTGGTAGACAGCTGTGTTGACCTTGGACCTCAGAAAACACAGTGGACCAACACCAGCAGATGACATGTCACCCCAAACTACTGACTGTGGAAACTTGACACTGGACCTGAAGCAACATGGATTCTGTGCCTCTCCTTTCTTCATTCAGACTCTGGGACCTTGATTTCCAAAGGAAATGCAAAATATACTTTAATCAGAACATAACTTTGGACCACTCCGCAGCAGTCCCAGGTGAGACGCTTCTGATGCTGTCTCTTGTTCAAGAGTGGCTTGACACAAGGAATGCGACAGCTGAAACCCATGTCTTGCATACATCTGAGCGTGGTGGTTCTTGAAGCACTGACTTCAGTTGCAATCTACTCTTTGTCAATCTCTCCCACATCTTGGAATGGGTTTTGTTTCACAATCCTCTCCAGGGTGCAGTTATCTCTATTGCTTGTACACTTTTTTCTACCACATGTTTTCCTTCCCTTCACCTCTCTATTAATGTGTTTGGACACAGAGCTCTGTGAACAGCCAGCCTCTTTAGCAATGACCTTTTGTGTCTTGCCCTCATTGTGCAAGGGGTCAATGGTCGTCTTTTGGACAACTGTCAAGTCAGCAGTCTTCCCCATGATTGTGTAGCCTACAGAACTAGACTGAGACCATTTAAAGGCCTTTGCAGGTGTTTTGTGTTAATTAGCTGATTAGAGTGTGGCACCAGGTGTCTTCAATATTGAACCTTCTCACAATATTTTAATTTGAGATACTGAATTTGGGGTTTTCATTAGTTGTTAGTTATAATCATCAACATTAAAAGAAATAAACATTTGAAATATATCGGTCTGTGTGTAATGAATGAATATAATATAAAAGTTTCACTTTTTTGAATGGAATTACTGAAATAAATCAACTTTTTCATGATATTCTAATTTTATGGCCAGCACCTGTAATTTAGTTAAAGGACCCAAGAGGTTGGCTTCACAAACCACCTTTGGTTTCCTTCCAACTTAAACGTGGTGTGTTTCTCTGTAGGACGTGGACAAGCCCTGCGACACCGTCCTGCAGCAAGTCTCCATCGAGGAGATCCTGGAGGAGCAGCGGCTGCAGCAGCAGACCAAGCAGGAGACGGAGAAAGTCAAGATGCAAGTGTTGAAGGACCGAGGCCTTTCCGTCCCCAAAGCAGATAACTTGGACGAGTACTGACACGGCCTCTTTGTCCTCCCCCGATGATTAGACTTGTCCTTTTGCATCAGACTGAGTTTTATGTTTTGGGGGGTTTTGTTTGCTTTTTTATGTGTAGAAAACGGCTATCACTATTTACTTTAGCGTATCAATTTAGCATAAAGTATTTGGTTTAAAAAATGATTAGAAAAATGTGGTAAATCATGATGACTGTGCTGGCAGTTCAGTAATCCGTTTACAGAAGCACTTTCTCACTAAAGTATTAGTTTTGTGTAGATCTGTGGGTTTGGCTGCTGGCAAACTTTATTTTTCTCCAAATAACACTTTGAGTTTCTTTATGGAAAATACATCATCACGTCTGGCAACGGTTACGTTTCTGGGTTGTTGTTTTTTTTTTTTGTGTGAATGTTGGCTCAGCATTCATGTTTTCTTTTTAGTTTTGTGATCAAATGACTTCTACATACTTTGTGCCATTTTAATCTCCGTTAAAATGTTCGGCCCTGTGGGGAACTGTGAGCTTTGACTTTTTCAGGACTTGGGACATTTGTCATTTTTGACTTTATTTATAAAGAATCCTCAGAGAAATGTGAGAAATTGTCATTTCCTTCTAAAACATTCTTTGAAATTTACTTCAGCACTGTGATTTGCTCCTATTTTTATCTTGTTTCTTTTAAACTTTAGCCATGATTTTGTTATGTTTTTAAGCTTTTAGCTTCAGTTGGGCTAATTGGAGTCCTGTTCTCTTGTTTTAACTCAAATAATTTGGCTTTTTCAGCATATTTGAACGAGGCTCCGTTCTCAACACAAACAAAAAAAAACATGAATCATTTGGGTAATTGAATTCAGGCGCATTGGTGCATCAGACAGCATCCTGTTCAGAGGTCTTGATGCGTCCGGACAGATTGATCTTATCAGCTTTCATTTGTCAATAATGAGCTTGTTAAGCATTTGGACGGATGGTGATCATGTAACAGAGCTGCTTAATGAGTTGTTACATGAACTGGCTCATTTCTTCAACATTTTTCATAGTGTTATCATTAATACTACTTTTACATTTATGGGACACAGCCAGGAAATTAAGGTTTTATGAAAGAGCTCTATAGTTTATCCTTTGTGTGATTTTTCAGTCAAATAAAAAAAAAAAACGTGTTTTTAGGAGAATCAAAGTTGCACCAGTTTTCTGTTTATCTGCAGAGCTGTAAAGCAAAACAGCCCTTAAAATGTTTTATAAAAGAGTATTTACAGAGGACTTGAATGTGTTATTAGCAGCAGAATTTGATCTGGATGTATAGGATTACTCCTGATTAAATTATTCTTTTGCAAGCATGAGTCATTTAACCTTTAGATTTAATATTTCATACAAAATAGGCGAGCAGATTTATTTGAATTTTCTCCATTTGTAGATCCTATTTAGTACCAAGTCTTTCAATTGAAACCGGATTCCCAAAAAGTTGGGACACTAAACAAATTGTGAATAAAAACTGAATGCAATGATGTGGAGATGGCAAGTGTCAATATTTTATTCGTAATATAACAGATGACAGATCAAAAGTTTAATCTGAGTAAATGTAACATTTTAAAGGAAAAATATGTTGATTCAAAATTTCACAGTGTCAACAAATCCCAAACAAGTTAGGACAAGTAGCAATAAGTGGCTGGAAAAAGGAAATTGAGCATATAACGAACAGCTGGAAGACCAATTAACACTAATTAGGTCAATTGACAACATGATTGGGTATAAAAAGAGCTTCTCAGAGTGTCAGTGTCTCTCAGAAGCCAAGATGGTAAGAGGATCACCAATTCCACCATTGTTGCGCAGAAAGATAGTGCAGCAATACTAGAATGGTGTTACCCAGTGTAAAATAGCAAAGACTTTTAAGTTATCATCATCAACCGTGCATAACATCATCAAAAGATTCAGAGAATCTGGAACAATCGCTGTGCGTAAGGGTCAAGGCCGTAAAACTCTACTGGATGCTCGTGATCTCCAGGCCCTTAAACGTCACTGCACCTCAAACAGGAATGCCACTGTCAAGGAAATAACAGAATGGGCTCAGGAATACTTCCAGAAAGCATTGTCAGTGAATACAATCCACCGTGCCATCTGCCGTTGCCAGCTGAAACTCTACAGTGCAAAGAGGAAGCCATTTCTAAGCAAGCTCCACAAGCTCAGACGTTTGCACTGGGCCAGGGGTCATTTAAAATGGAGTGTGGCAAAATGGAAGACTGTTCTGTGGTCAGATGAGTCATGATTTGAAGTTCTTTATGGAACACTGGGACGACATGTCATCCGGACCAGAGAGGACAAGGATAGCCCAAGTTGATATCAATGCTCTGTTCAGAAGCCTGCATCACTGATGGTATGGGGTTGCATGAGCGCTTGTGGCATGGGCAGCTTGCATGTCTGGAAAGGCACCATTAATGCAGAGAACTATGTTCAGGTTCTAGAACAACATACGCTCCCATCTAGACTTCATCTCTTTCAGGGAAGACCCTGCATTTTTCAACACGATAATGCCAGACCACATTCTGCAGCAATCACAACATCATGGCTACGTAGGAGAAGGATCCGGGTACTGAAATGGCCAACCTGCAGTCCAGATCTTTCACCTATAACATTTGGCGCATCATAAAGAGGATGGTGCGACAAAGAAGGCCCTAGACGATTGAACAGTTAGAGGCCTGTATTAGACATGAATGGGAGAGCATTCCTATTCCTGAACTTGAGAAACTGGTCTCCTCTGTCCCCAGACGTCTGTTGAGTGTTGTAAGAAGAAGGGGGGATGCCACACAGTGGTAAAAATGGACTTGTCCCAACTTTTTTGGGATTTGTTGACGCCATGAAATTTGGAAACAACAGATCTTTTCCTTAAAATGATACATTCTCTCAGTTTAAACTTTTGATCTGTGATTTGTGTTCTATTCTGAATAAAATATTAGATGTTGGCACCTCCACATCATTGCATTCAGTTTTTATTCACAATTTGTTTAGTGTCCCAACTTTTTTGGAATCTGGTTTGTAGAATGATGTGACACTGGTACCATTCTTGGACATTTAGGAGCTCTTGAATAGTTAACAGTGCCTCCGCGTATTTACAGATTTCATGTGTTTTAACTGGTTTGAATGGCCCGCTCAAACCCTTCTGTTGTTCTGAATCAGTTCTGTTGAATTTTTTTAAATTTAGTAGTTTGTCAGATGTGCATGCTCCTTTTTAGTCCTGTTTTGATAGATCATTGAAGACCAACAACATGGCAGCTGGACTTGATATGTGAGGCCATAAAGGAAGGACGAGCCACGCTGCACCAAAACATCTATTTTAGTTTATCTTTGCACTTGATTACAGTATATATTATAATCATGAGCTAATGGTGTTTTAGGGTTGTTTTTTTAATATCATTTACAATGTTAAACAAATTAACCATTAGAGTTTAAATGGTCATTTTTAACCAGCCAGGGTTAAAGTATTAGTCACCTTGTTGAGTAAGCAAACACTTCAAAGAAGCCAAGAGGGTGACTGTAGCCAGTGTGTGAAGGATGGTGCTGTTCGGACCTGTAGTAAAACATTTATTCTTTGCTGACTAAGATATCAGACTGACTTGGCCAGATAAAACTTCCTATGGTGATGCTCAGTGTAGTTTGAAGGCACACTTGGCTGTCATTATTTGTGGAATAATTTAATCAGAAGCTCATGTTTAAATCATAGATGCTAGAAAAGCCAGAAATGGAAGTGTAAACTCTAACCTTATAACTGCAGTGTCTGCAGTCTGTTTCTATGTAACACGATCAGTCACTGCGATGAAAATCATGTCGACTCAGATCTCTAAATGTAGTCAGAGTGAAGATTTGCTTGCCAATGGGGAAAAGAAAATAACGTTTTTGTCTGATAAGAATCTCAAAAAAAAAGCACAATAAATGGCATTTACCAATCATGGATTCATTAAAAATTGTCAAGATTTGACTCTACGATATTTTATTGTATTGTATGTATTTATGAAAAGCTCCATTAGAGTAAAATATTGAATTTCTAGTTGGTATTCATGGAGAAATCCAACCAGCAGAGGGCGACATTGCGTTTCTTCTTTTTTTTTTTTTTTTTTTTTTTTTTTTTTTTTTTTTTTTTTTTTTTATTAAAGATTTTAATCACACATTACAAACATCTGTTTGCCAGGGGTATAGATATTAATGTAAAAGAGATAATATTCTAGTACAAAACATAAAAAACCATGAAATTATATTTACAATTTATACAGAGTTTAAATTCACATTAAGCTTTTCCAGAGTTGAGATGGTTTTCATTGCCTTTTGGTTTTCCAGTCCATTAATTGAGGTGATGTATTGAAGAAGTTCTTTGCTGAAATGGGTTATGTTTGGTTTGGAGTTGGACCATTTTTTCTTGTGAATGTGAAACTTTCCCAGGAGAAGTAGAAGTTGGGTGAAGTGCAACAAGTCTTTATTCGTGCCTTTGTCTTCAAAGCATAGTATAATGTCTTTCTCTGTAAGCTGAATTATTTGTCCAGTTTTTTGCTGTATGAATTGTTGCACATCTCTCCAGAATGAGATTGTATGAACACATTGATAGAATAAATGAGAAATCGTTTCTATGTGTAGTTCACAGAATGTACAAGAATAGTCAATGTCAAGTTTAAATCTTTCCAGTGTTTTTTTAACAGGATATACATTATGAATAATTTTATATGAAACCTCTTTAACTTTGTTTGTTATGCAAAATTTTTCCCAATTTAACCACATCTGCTTCCAGTTAACTCCTTCAAATATGGAAGACCAGAAAAATCTACCAGGAGGCAGAGTGATCTTCTGCAGACAAGTTCTTATGAGTTTGTTGGAGCATGTTTTTTTTGTTACATCGATTCCATCCAGCATTACGGGGCTTCTAAGTTGGTCTCTAGGCAAATTGTTCACTTTTGTTCCTTTGAAGAGCTGCCTCATAGATTTTGGTAGAGCATCAAAAACTACAGCATACTCTTTAGGTGTTACAGGAATTTTAAGTCTAGTCAGAAATTCAGTGTATGTCATAAAGGTTCCATTATCATTTAATAGTTGTTGTACAAGCATAATTCCATTTTCCATCCAATTTTTGTAGTAAAGCGACTTGTTCTTATATAAAATATTCCCATTGTTCCAAATGCAATATGTAGTTGGGGAGAAGTTGTGTTTGTAGGCAAGTTTCCAAGACAGGAGAGCTTGTTGGTGAAATCTCGATAACTTAATAGGTAATTTTTCAATTTTATAATCACATTTTAATAAAAATTGGATTCCTCCTATCTGATTAAAAATATGGTTGGGGAAAGTGTTCCAAAGCGTATCTTTCCCTTTTAATAAGTTAGTTAACCATTTAATTTTAAAGGAATTATTTAGCATTTCAAAACTTAGGACATCTAGACCTCCAAATGTTTTATTATTACAGAGAATATCTTTTTTTAAGTAATGGCATTTATGTTTCCATATAAAGTCAAATAATGTTTTATCTAATTTTTTGCATACATCTTTTGGCATCTCTAATGATAAGGAAGTATATACAGATCTAGATATTCCCTCAGCTTTTGACAGTAGTACCCTACCATTTAATGACAGGTCCCTCATTAGCCACATGTTAAATTTTGTTGTTATTTGTTGTATAATAGGGCCAAAGTTTGAGCTGCTACGCAAATTTTGATTCATTGCGTTTCTTCTTGTGACCAAAATGAAATCAAATTTAAGCGTCAACACCTCCACAAGGAGAATTTAAAGCAAAAAAAAAAAAGTTTTATTTTGTCAGTCTAGTGCATTCCTTATCTGTTCATTAGTGTAATGAAATATTAAAACAGTCCAAAAACCATGAAAATGGAAGGCCTAACATTGAAAGAATGTATATCGCTCGCTGCCTTTCATGACAATTTAAAACCAGAATCACTTTAAGCTCAAAAGGGATATATTGATCTAACAGTTATTAGTGTTTCCTAAGTTCAGTTAGCTGCAGCAGCCATCTTGAATAGGGTTGACTCCAGTGGCTAATGAGTTGTAGATGTACATCCAGTTACTTTCTTCCAAGTTTGGATACATTTTGTCAAGTGGTTCATGATATATTCTAATAGATCAGTTGGTGCTCGGAGTCTGCATTGAGAATAACTCTCAGCTACTACCATACCAAACCTTAGCTCAATATCTGTAAAATTGACTTGCTTGTAACCATTTACATGTCTTTGAGGTGGCTGTGGCAGCCATTTTTTGACTCCAGATGTTAGTTGTACATATGTACTTTTTTGAAAGTTTCATGAAAATGTGCCCAGTGGTTTGAGTTGTTTTGCTAACAGACATCGTTGCTTTTCTTTCCCTGGTGGGCAATATCTGTTGATTTATAGTGGGTATTTTTTTGTTCATTTAAAATAAACCAAACAAATTCATCAAAAAGAAAACATTGAATGAAAAGGGTGCAGATATAATAATAAAAAAATCTTATAAGGAGTAACTGCTAAGCTAAAGAACTTTTCTTCTTCTGCTTTCCCAGTGGAGATTTCAGAGGTGCAGCTGTGGCTGAGTGGTTAGAGCAGTTGTTCTCCAATGCAAGAGTTGGGGGTTCGAGTCCACCAGCAGTCACATGCTGAAGTGTCCCTTGACCCCTGCCACCGATCCCATCATTGCCTCCGATGTGTGTCCCATCAGTGTATGAATGTGATAAAGCACTGATTATTCTCTGTATAGATCTAGTAGAGTGTTGTATGAATGGGTAAATGAGGACACAGATTGTAATGTAAAGTACTTTGAGTGTCTTGGCCAGATAGAAAGGCGCTATATATGTACAATCCATTTATAATAATGGGTATCTTAAAGCAATTCAACCAGTGAATTTTCATCTTTCTCAGACATAGTAAGTTGTTACAAAGACATTCCGAAAATAGAACTGGACTGTTTTGTGGAGAAGGACAATTCAAAATAAAACGTGTAAAAAAATGTGATTTACTCTTAAGCCGTTTTACAGCCTAATTTGTTTAGAAGTGTATACAGATTTATATTTAAACTGAAACAGAAGAAAGACACAACATCTCAGATGCATGCTTTTATTTTGGTGAGCAGTTCTGGTGACGTTGCCAGTGCGTCGTTACGTTGGGCGGGATGGCCCCGCCCATCGTGGTTTACGCACCCTCACAGGAGGAGGAGGGAGGCTCGCTCTGATGTCCTCTCGGTTGCACTCAGCCAACCCCTGCTGCTGTGAGGTGAAAAGCTGACTCCTAAGTCGCCGTGAACGATTCGCCCGATGATCAACCAGAAATTTTGTCCCTCACCGGATCCCCTCCAAGGCACTGAGGCGGCTTTTCTGCGTCGCGGAGGGATTTCGCACCCCAAGATAATTCCGCATGGAAGGGTTTCGGGGGGATTGGAGTAGAAATGCAGCGCTGTGCTTCCAGCCCACAACAAGAACCATGCCCAACTTACACTGCAAGCACATCGGTGACATCCTGTTTTATCCCTTACGAATCTGATAGGAGTGAAATCCGCTCGGACACCGACGAGGAGTGAGGAGAAGGGGGAGCCGCAGCACCGTGCCAGCTGAAGGAGGACGCTGTTTCCGCTGCGAGAGGACCCGCTGAAAAAAAACAAACCCCCACCAACCTCTGCATTTAGGATCTTCTGGTTTTTCATGGAGCTGGAGAACATAGTAGCCAACACTGTACTGCTAAAAGCGAGAGAGGGTAAGTTGGCCTGAGGGGGGACTTTGTGACAGCTTTTTGTTTTTGTGCGCTCGGTTGGCAGAAAAAAGGTGAGAATGATCGCAGGGATGACGGCAGCCTGCGGATTGTGAGGCTCAGGTAAATCCGACTGGGGGGGGGGGGGTGTTATGTAACACATTACCGCAGCAGCATCTTGAGATCAATGACCCCCTCCCCAAGAAAAAATAAAATGACATGGGCTGTTTTATCCATAATACTTTGACAGATATACCCCCCCCCCCCCCCTGCCTCCCATGCACGCTTTCGCTCAGTGCAAATGAAAAGCGCTCTTTCGCAACCTTTGCGCACGCTGAGGCAGGAAGCGGCTCCTTCCCATCTAAGAGTGGCATCTGGACGGTGGTCTGGAGACGTGACGGCGAGGGGCCTGCAAAGACCTGGGGTGGGGGGTGGGGGGGTTACATGTCTGAGAAGGCCACGTGCAGAGAGGATGATGGAGATGCAGTGAGGACAGGAGACCTGGATGGAGACTGGTCCATCACTGCTGACACTTGTGTTTAGTTTTTTAGTAGTTCGTGCACCGTTTATAAACAGGAGTTTGTTCAGATGTTTGTGTGCGGAGACAAGAAGCGTCTGAAAGGTTGTGCAATGTGGAATATATCACGTCCAGGTTCTTTATTGTCGTTGGCACCACATGTGGTACATGTGGTGGAACGAAACTGTGCACACAGGGTCCCAGTTACATCCAACAAAAGTATAAATTGTAAAGAAAACAGCAATAAGATCTAAGATATGAACTAAGAGATAAAAATACACTAAGCACAAATAGTACAAAAACAATAAGCCGAACAATAACATATGAGGAACATTGAAGTCAGTTTGCAACACGTTGGACACATGAATAAGTCTTTTAGAGATGAAGGTGGAACGGGTAAAACTGAATCGACTCGGAGAGAAAGAGAGAACACGTCTGATGGACCCAAGACTGAAAACCACCGAGAAGAGAGCAAGATGTTGATGCTTTGAAGCAGAAACAAACCCAGCTGTAGGGCTTCGGTGTTCAGGAATATTTTCTGAGTGAACAGAGTTCACTTCGGCTTCGACACATTCTCTGCCTTCCAGTCTAAAACCATCGCTGGAGGCAAACAAATGGAAGCAGCACTTCTGATGCATTAAAGAGACAGTCCAGATCTTTTGAAGTGGGGTTTATGTGAAAACAAGAACAATATTAGGGACAAGGGCGTCAGAAGTGTCTGTATTGTTTTTGGGGGGGGGGGGGGCACTGTGTGTGCGTATGTGTGCGTGCACACGCACACACCAGTGTGCAAAAAAAGTGTACACTAGTGAACAAAAAAGCAACATTTCACCTAGATTTCCTTATTTTAATTCCACACATTTAAAGCATGCTTCTCACAAAGTTTGTGTAAATTCAGCTGTGGGTTTTAAAGAAGTTTCAACTTTAATGCACTTTAACACACAGCGTCAGATCGACACTATTTGTGTTTAGAGAAATAAAAAACATCACCACTAGACTTTTTTTTACTTGTGTTCAACATAGGGATGCACAATATTATCGGCATGGTATCGGTATCGGCCGATATTAGCGTTAAAGTGCACCCCCCAATCATCTGACCTCCCATCACAATTTCTCGTTAACTCTGCTCCTGTGTCAAATAAGCACGAGATCCTGAACTGTCTCAACAAACATTTTGTTGCTTCTGGTTCTTTATTTGACACAGTAACTAATGGAAAATCAGCCACTTCACTTAATAACCAAACTTCTACAAATCAAATCCCTCCTACAAGTCAATCCTCAGTTAATCACACCTTCTCTTTTTCTCCATTCTCAGTCAGTGAGGTCAATAAACTGTTAAAAGATCTTGATCCTAAAAAATCTGCAGGTCCAGATGAACTTCCACCTTATTTCTTAAGGCTGGCTGCTCATATCATCACAGTCCCTGTGACCCACATCTTCAATCTCTCCATAAGACAAAACTCCATCCCAGACACTTGGAAAACAGCCTTTGTTCTTCCTTTGCTGAAGGGAGGAGACCCCACCTCACTGAACAACTATCGACCAATCTCTAAACTCTGCATTTTAGCCAAGGTTCTAGAAAAACTGATAAACTCTCAAATCAAAAATTACCTGGACTCATTTAACATCTTACCTCCACATCAATCTGGTTTCAGGAAACAACACAGCACAACCACTGCTTCACTGAAGGTTCTTAATGACGTTGTTGAAGCACTGGATGCTAAGGATTATTGTGCTGCACTTTTCTTAGACCTGTCTAAAGCTTTTGACACTGTGGATCATAACATCTTGTGTCATAAACTCTCAGAAATCGGTTTCTCAGATCACACCATTGGTTGGTTCTCTAACTATCTCTCAGACCGGAGGCAATGTGTTCAACATAATGGTACTTCCTCCAGTTATTTAACAGTCAACAATGGTGTACCACAAGGCTCAGTCTTAGGACCCACCCTCTTTACAATCTACATACGTAATGTAGGTAAAAACATCCCTGATGCATCCATACATTTCTATGCTGACGACACAGTTGTTTATTGTCGAGCTAAAACAGTTGCTAAGGCTTTCCAGCTTCTGAAATCTGCATTTAACTACATCCAGACTGATTTGTTCCGCCTCAAACTTGTCCTAAATGCCGAAAAAACCAAAGGGATGCTTTTTTCAAATAGGAAGTTGGTCCCAGCAGTTCTTCCTCCGATTTTATCCTCAAATGGTGTCCCCATTGAGTTTGTTGATTCCTATAAATATTTGGGTATCTTGGTCGACTCACATCTTTCTTTTAAGCTCCATGTGGAAAACTTGGTAAAGAAACTGAAAGTTAAACTGGGTTTCTTTTTCAGAAACAGATCCTGTCTAACCCTGAATGCTAGAAATTGCCTTGTATCTGTGACTTTCCTTCCCTCAATTGATTTTGGTGATATTATTTACATGAACGCTCCTACAAGAACCCTGCAGATGTTGGATGCTGTCTATCATGGTGCACTAAGATTCATAACTGGCTGTGATTATCGTACCCACCACTGCACCCTGTATTCATTGGTTAACTGGACATCATTAACTTCATGCAGACTCTCTCACTGGTACATTTTCATCTTTAAATCACTTCTTGGTCTGCTGCCTTCATACATCTCCTCCTACATGTCTCTGCGTGAGTGCAGCTACGGAGTGCGCTCTCAGGACATTATTACCTGCAGTGTTCCCTCAGTGAGGACTGAACTAGGCAAAAGGGCCTTCTCCTACTCCGCTCCTGTTTCCTGGAATATCTTACAAAAAGATTTGAAGCTTTCGACCTTGACCTCTCTAAGTGGCTTTAAGAATCTGTTGGACACCTGGCAGGGACCAATGCAGACATGTTCCTGTTTTTAGTTTTATACATTTGTCTCGGAATCTAGCTGGTTTTTTTTTGGTTTTGTTACCTTTTTCCTTTTAGCCATCCTATTTGTTAAAAAAAACAAACAAAAAAAAAACCTGTAGTATGAGTTTTTATAACTGCTTATTGTTGTTGCTGTTGTCCATTGTTGTCATCTTTCTTTGTTGAAATCAGGTCTCTCTTGTAAATGAGTCCTCGAGGCTCAATGGGATTTACCTGTATAAATAAAGGTTGATTGATATCGGACATCGGCCATTCCATTAAAATAACTCGCCGATATAAAAGGTGCAGTTTTTGCCTGCAGAGGCAGCACAACGTGATGACGTCACGTGCGCCTACCCCATCTCACGGCGGAGAGGAAAATTCAAAATGTCGTCGTGTGGAAGTTTTATTTTTCGTTGGTGAGGATGTCGGATTCTGAAGCTTTATGGACTACATTGAGCCTCACTACATCGTCCACAGTCTGAGATATTTTTCCGACGTAATGTTACCCGAGTAACCAGCCGTCATTTCCGACGTCGTTGAGAAGCTAATAGCCAATAGCACGACTTGTTGGGTGAGTTTTACCACAGACATGTGGACGTCGTGTTAGCCTCGTTAGCATGATTAGTCTTAGGGAACAATGGATAGACAAAAACTTTGAAGTTAAAAAGTCTGTCCTTCATGCACAGGAGTGCAGAGGATCCTGCACTGCAACTAGGAACCTGGAACAAGCCTCCACAAGTGAGACAGCATCGCAGGTGACTAATGCTAATAACATTTAACACTTTTCATTTGATATAAGTTAAAGTGCTATGCATATATCTGTTAGTGAATATATGTCACCAGCTCTTACAGCTGTTGCACAATTTTTGTAGCAAATAAGCCTAAATAAGAGAGAGGGCTATGTTCAGACAAAGGAACATATATAAAATATCGGTATCTGCATCGGCCAAATAAGTTTTAACATATCGGCTAAAAATCCAATATCGTGCATCCCTAGTTCAACTCTACTCATCTAAAGGATGTTTCTCACGAAGCTTGAGGACAATAAGGTGAGGGGTTTTAAAGACATTTCAACTTTAATGCACCTGAACACAAAGCGTCTTACAGCGTCACAGTCACTGCTAAGCTAAGATGCTTCAGACGTAGCACTCCACTTCTCTCAAGCATCCTAACATGAATGTATGTTTATGAGCAACCCTTCTGGTCAACAACTGGCTGCACGCTTGCTAAGCTGACGAGTGAGCAGCGGTGTCTCCACCTCCTCCACCTGTGAGCAGTTTCTGCCGAGGCAAGAGACGCAGAGGAGAAACACTGCAGGCTTCTGGAGGGTTGTCGGTAACCAGGAAAACCTGGAGTGGACTTTAAATGGTTTAAGTAATTCTTCTATTAATCAAGTGGAATGGGCCGACTGAACTAATGTTTCATGGTAAATGTGTATGGGGGGGGTGTCCAAATGAACTTTTTTTTTTGTATGTGTGTGTGGGGGACGACACACGTCCCCTTCACATATAATGGTTGTGATGCCTATGATTAGGGATGATGTTACGAGAATTGTGGGGAATCTCCAAAGTCCCGGATGTCGAGTAAACAACGCAGCAGACTGCATGTGTAATAGCTACCTCATTGCTGTTGTCCATG